CACCTGGAGCTTTGTTCAGACTGGCCTGTGGGCATGACTGTGGGTGCTTCCTTGATCGTTTATGGATATAGGAGGTCGACCTGCTGTGGGAGGCACCATCTCTAGGCAAGTGAGATGGTCTGGGCTGCGTAAAAAAGCTACATGAGCATGAGCCAAAGAGAGCATCATTCATTCATGCTTTCTGCAAAAACTCTTTCCCTGTATTCCCTCAGTAATGTCCTGTGGCTTGGAAGATTAAGGTAAAATAAACTTTTTCTTCTCTGAGTTGTTTTTGGACAGAATGTCTTATCTCAGTAACAGAAAAGAAAACTAGAACATAAACTTGTACCTAGAGTTGGATTGTTCCTTAATAGACTTGGGATAATTGTAAACAAACACTAAGAAATTAATGAATAAGCCACCAACTATGCAGAGGTTAAAAGGTTGTTCTATAAAAGCTTGAAAGATTAGACTGTTGAGAGAATTGGTAGAATAGAGTCCTAGACTGTGAAGTTTCAGGGGTTAATAAAGACTTTATTAGGAATGTTCTTGCAGTATTTTGGGTTAATAATAAGTGAGTGCTGAAGAACAAGCTCCGATTAATAAATAAACAACACTGAACTGAAACCTTCTCTGTTTCATGAAGACAGTGGACAGTGTTTATCTGGGATTAAAAAAAAATCATACAAAAATCTTCTGGGAAGTATCTCTCAAGGGGTAGCCCACAAACTGAAGTTTTGTAGAAAAGGCTATTTTTCAAGCTGGCTGCTGAACTTGGTAATGTTTAAGAGTCTCTTTGTCATACTCATATTTAAGGCATAGGAGGTGCAAGATTGGATGGCATGGATAGCTGCTAAAGCCTGGTACCATGAAGGGGTTCATCCTCCCTGAGGAGAAGCCATTGATGAAGATGAAACCTCAGAAACAGGAGAGAACCCAGGATGCTGTAAATACCAGAACCGTGGGATGACCACCAAGTGAGTGATAAGAATGAAGTAGAGTCATCCTAAACTTCTGAGACAAGATTGTGTGCTGCAGATTGCAGAGCCAGAGAAGGAGGCTGCCCAAGCCCTTTGGAGTCTAGAAGATCATAAGTGAGTCCCAGATGTCAGACATTAGTCTAGAGTGCAAGAATTTGCCGTGCTAGATTTAGGGCTTGCTGAGTCCCCTGACTTTCCTCAGTGTTACCTGGAAGTGTAATTTGAAAGGAACGCATTCCTCCCCCGTTTTCTTTTTGTTAGAATGTATTATCACAGAAACATAAAAGCAAGCTAGAACTTTCTATTCTGGAATGTTTGCTGAGATAGACTCACACACATATGTACAGGGAAAGAAAATATAAAACTCAACTTAAATAACATCTAAATATGGCTTTGTAGAACACTGCTATTTTATGAAGAGAAAATATACATGTGCTGTCAAATATAAATGTGTGTATTTTAATTGTGCTTTCTTGAAAAACATCTTTTTAATATTAACGTTTATTTAAACTTTTTTAAAAAAGTCTTATCAATGTGTGTGTTATCAAATGTAACGCCATTTGTTTGTTTTAATGTTCTCACTAAAAATCTCCAAGGCTATATTGAGTTCCAATTTAATATTAAAATTTTCTTAGTCTGAGTAAGTCAATACTTAAAAGCCAATAACTGGACCCTTGGGGAATGGGTTAGACATGGGAACAAGAATTGTCAAGGGATAGAGGCAGGACAGATTTGAGAAGGCATGTTGGGTTCAAAGGCAATGGATGTGAGGTGGAGACCCCCATGAATAAGTTAAACTCTGAATTAGATAAACACATTAGCAACACATGTGAAGATGTGAACACATCCAACATACGATTAGGCAATAGAGTGGACCTGGTGGGCATATAGACCAGGGAGGTATACAGAAGGAGGTAGGGTAAAAAAATTCCCAGTAACCTAAAAATAACAGTGGAATGAGAAAACAAAAATATAGGATTGCAGTCAGAGGAGAGCAGTTCAAACAGGAGACTGTCCTTGCATGAGAACTGATTTTAGCGGCTGTCTCTGTGAGCTTCTTTTCTTTCAAAAAAAAAAAAAAAAAAAACTTAAGAAAAGCTACATTTAAAGCAAAGAATGACCATAAGACTTGCATGTACAGCCTTTAGAGAGACAGAAACCAGACCACAAATAAGTTGCTATTTCTGAGACCCAGGCTTCTCCTTGTTAAAATTCTCTTCTATTTTTCCTTTGCCTGGAAACTTGTGAGACTATAATGGCCCAAGTTACAGAGGAAGGGTCGAGGAGAGCTTCAAGACGGCAGGATTTGTCTCCCTCCACCCTCCCAACCTAGTGCCATAAAGTCGGCTTCCCCACCATTAACCCTAGTAAGAATTTATTATCCTGGCAGTTAACAGACTTCACTCCTTGTTTCACGTTATAAGGTCTTTGAAATATCCTCCAACCACCCAGCCCTGGCCAATTGCACACAGTCATGAGCATTGCCCCAGAGATCCTGACCACCTCCCCAGGAGCAAAAATACCCTGCTTTCTCCCCAATAAAGAAACCAGTTCTCTGAAGCTGTTCCCAAGCATTGTGTTTGTTGCCTGCACACTCACTGCTCTGAACAAGATCCTGCCAGTACCCACCTGCCCCGGCTATGTGTTCCTCCCTTCAGTCCACCTCGAATTCTACCTATCCCTAGCAGGAGAGGTGGGTGTGGAGTGGCAGAAACTCCTGTTTAATTTATGACTAAGTCATAGCTAACCTTAAAAGTTAAGATTTGACAATACAAACAAATTCCAGAATCATAACTTTCTTCTCACTACAAAGCCCATAGTTAGTTTCACTCATTTTGTAGTTTTCAACACCTTAATGTCTGCTACATGCAGATTTCCAGGGTGAGATGAGAAAAGATAGGTAATTTAAGCATGAAAACAATGATACACAGAGTACTGAAATACTCAAACTACAACATCACAGGCCTAATAAGGGGGTCTGACTGAAGTGTGTGAATTTAAAGAAGAAAATTCAAACTATCCTGTCAGGGCAAAGATGAGAAAAGTTAAAAAAATAAAAAAACTAGGTTTAAGAAAAAATGCATTGGTCAACATAAGTGAAACAAACGAAAATCAGAAAATCAAGGGGGGCTATGACAAATATATATTTTCCTTACTAGGACAGGAGCCTACTGCAGAGGGCCTCTGAAAGATTCTACCTAGCAGTGTATCAAGGCAGATGCGGAGACTCATAACCAAACGTTGGGCAAAGTGCAGGGAATCATATGAAAGAAGGAGGAGTTAGTATGACCTGGAGAGGACAAGAGCTCCATAAGGACCAAATATATCAGGGCACAGGGATCTTCTATGAGACTGTTTCTCCAGCCTAGGACCATGTATGGATATAACTTAGAAACCCTGCTTGGATGTAGCCCATGGCAGCTCAGCATCCAAGTGGGTACCTTAGTAAGGGGAACAGGGAATGTCTCCGACATGAACTCAATGGCTGGCTCTTTGACCTCTCTCAGCCCCTGCAGGAGGAGCAGCCTTGCTAGGCCACAGAGGAGGACTTTGCAGCCAGTCCTGAAGATACCTGATAAACTAGGGTCAAATGGAAGGGGAGGAGGACCTCCCCTATCAGTGGACTTTGAAAGGGCCAGGGAGGAGATGAGGGAGGGAGAGAGGGTAGAATTGGGAGTGATTGGGGGAGGGGGCTATGGCTAGGATACAAAGTAAATAACCTGTGATTAATATAAAAAAATAAAAATTATAAAAAATCAAATCAAATAAATATTAAATTATAAAAAGAAACTGAATAGGTTGTATTTGTATATATGTATATACATGTTTTTGATTGTGTATTGTGTGCTTGTGTCTGTAACAATTAATAAAAGAAAGTCCATGAATTTGAAAGGGAGGAAGGAGAGATACACAGGAGAGTTGGGATGAAAGAAGGAAAGGAAGAAATGATGTAATCATAATAAAAGAAATAATAAATTATATAAAATGATTTAAAACTGTGTTAATAAGACAAATTCACCCAGGAACACTATGTAAATGAATGAATAGAATCAAGCTGTACAATAAAAATAACGTATTTTGTAAGAGTACGAGACTAAAACCTAGTAGTTTTACCAGTAGTGTGCTTCGGCACCACAGAGTCACCGTACCAGAGCTTGCTCAAATCACTATTCCATCATTTTAACATTCTGTATCTTATCATAAAACCATTTAGTATAAAAACTTGCCACTAAACTGATGTTTTTCAATAGTCTGCTTTCTGCTTGTCTGTGCACACCAAATTTGGAAATGCGTAGGAATTCATCTGGTCCACATGGATAGTCCAAATAGCTTTCTAGACTACATTGGCTCCTTATGAATCAGATTCAAGCTCCTATCGTTGTGGGTATCATCAAATGTGATACATGTAGTCTCTTTATTTAATCTATTGCAAATATTTTGCAACGAGCTTTCACTTCATAGCACTCTGCTAATAGAAATACATAATGCATTTTTCAATCAGCTGACTGATTTTACTACTCAGTATGCATGTTAAAATTTGTATCCAAGTAAAAATATATATGTACATATTTTATAAGTACATAGACAACTTATAAAAATGCTCATATTGGGTTAAGGAGATGGCTCATTGGGTAAGAGTACTTACTATGCAAGCATGGGGACTTGAGCTCAAATCTTCAGAACCCATGCAAAACAGCTGGCAAGGTTCCAGGTACCTACAGCCCTAGCACTGGTAGAAAGTACAGACAGGAGGATCAGCAGGGTTTTCTGGCTGTCTGCTCAGCTCCTGGTTCATTGAGAGACCCAATGCCATGTCAGTAAATCAGAAAGAGATAGAGTAAGACTCCCAATGTCCTTTTTTGGCTTATATGAACATACTGGTACATGCACCCAAACAGGCACATACACAAGCATATCCCTCTCACTCCCTCCCTCTCTCGAACAAGCATACACATACGCAAACCAAATTCATACAAATTAGTACTAAAACTCAAAAAGTACTTATGAGGAAAAAATGTTATACTGATGACAAATGCTTACCTGTATGTACTTGTGAATGTACCAAGAAGCCTGTTTCCCATCATTCACAGATTCCACTGTGGTGTTAGCCACACCCACAACATCACCACCTGCAAACACCCATGGCTCACTGGTTTGCATGGTTTCTGGATTCACTTCTGGGAGACCCCATCTGTTAAACTTGATGGGACTCAGGGCTTCTTTCACTAAAACAAGGGGAAGACAATAGGCAATGACAGATCAGTGAATAATATATCAGCTTGAAAGTCAGGAAAATATATATATTAATTATTGTTCTTTGTATACAAGCAACTGTTTTTAATAAACCAAAAATGGCAATTTAATAAAAATACCAGAGACAACACAACCAAGTTTATTATTTAACCTAAAAAACATACCTCACATGTAGAAACTAAAAAGAGTTGGTCAATACTTAGTATCTGGTCTCCTATCTATTAAGGTTTGAATTTGTGAAGAAAGCACAGCCTCTGAAATACATCTAAATGAATTTTCTAAAGTGTACTTATCCATAAATCTGTTACTATTCACATCATCACAGTAGTGTCCCTGGTTGCTATAGATGAAAGCTGTGTAGTTGATTTATAGATTGGGCTGTAAACCAAGTCTCTCCTATTCATAACAAGGCACTTTATATTTACCATTATCATTAAACATTTAGACTCAGATGAACACTCAAACTGAACTCAAAATAGTTGTTTCTTTTATTTCATAAAACCCAGCAAATGCAAATATCACCCTTACTTCTTTGTGGAAATTCTCTTGAAATGTATGCATAATTATTTGCTATGTATTTTCTCAGGTAATCTAAAGATGCCATGGAAAAGGTTTGGTGCTTTTTAAAGAAAATCATATAATGGAAATTTTATATGGAATTGCAGTCATGGGATTTGTAAAAGAAAGGCTTTCTGAAAGATGAAGTACACAGAGCAAAAGAGCCTTTATTCTGGAACAAATGTGCTGGAGTTTAGGGTCAATGTTATCTACAGGTGGCATGTCATGATTTTTAAGTACAGCGTGTAGATATAGGAAAAAAAAAACAAAAAACAAAAAACAACCTATTCTTCCTTCAATGGGGAGAATGAGGGAGATGATGATGATAGATAGATAGATAGATAGATAGATAGATAGATAGATAGATAGATAGATAGATGGAGATAGATAGATAGATAGTTAGGTAGGTGAGAGAGGGAGAGAGACTGAACTCTAAAGAGTGCCTGGAAATTCCTGAAATAGAAATTGTAGTTGTTGAAAAAATCAACTATATAGTAAAGTAACCAAAACATTAAAAATAATGAGATACCATAAACATGAACCTTGTCAAAATGCATAAAGAGACTGTGGGGTGCCCAGCCTCAGCTAGTGAGTCTAAAACACAATCCCTATTCTTAAGGCCGAGGGAGCAGAAAGATTGTATGAGCCAGGGGACCAGGAGAAAAATTACAACCCCATTCAACAAACCGATGTGGATAGGGGAAATCTCACAAGGTAGACCCCTCAATGAAGAGATATAGGCAGTCATGTAGGTAAGGAAAATCGATTCATTTTCTCCAGAAGATGAGCCTCTGATGTGGTTCCCAATCCCAAGTGGCCAGCCCTAACCACATCCATATAGAAGTAGTTGTGCTACATGGTTAAATGGACTGAGCAGGTTGCGTGGGTGTGTGCGTGTGTGTGTGTGTGTGTGTGTAAGTGTACATGTGTGTGAAAGTAATGGGACAAAACAGAAAAGCTGCAGGGTCAAGAGTAGTGGAGTAGAAATTATATAAGTATACCATACTCATGTAAAAAAAATTTAGAAAAAAATAATTAAGAATAAGCCTTGGTTTATATCTGTTGCATCAGATAAAGTAAGAATGAACAGATATCATTGAGCTGGTCCTGCTGTGCTTTTACTACACGCCCGTAGTTCCCGGAAAACAGAAATGTGTATATTTGAATGCACGCTACCGTGTATGCAACTGTACTTCACCTTTAGAAAACACTGGGCTGGATTGATGGGTGTGTGATTAAAAGAGTCCCCGAGATAAAGCTACCACAGTCAGGTTTTTATTTAAAAACCTTGTGTATTTGTATTTCTCTGCTAGCTCACCTTTCATCAAGAGTAAAATTAAATATTCATGTAATTATTTTCAATGCAAAATGGCATTTTGAGATTTTCTTCTAATGTCTTTAAAGGTCACACGAAGGGAGACCTTTCTCATTGTTCCCTGTTGCATAACAGATCATCACTACCATCTGTTGACAGGTACTTGAGTTGCAAGAACATCAATAGTGAATATGGCTCATTTCTTCAATCCAGCATAATGTGCCATTATTGAATAGTACACTTTACAACTATAGACCAATAATTATAAATAATTACACATAAGAAGTGGTATTATTTGTCTAAAACTTTGATATACCCTGGCCCTATTAGAGATATAAAATAGTATTTTAAATCAGAAAAAGTTTCAGATTATTTCACTAAAAATTCACATCCCTTTTATAAATTTAATCTCATTTTTGATGGATACAGCCTTGAAAGTAAAGTACTGATTTTACTCTAAGAATGAGCAAAATAAAGATTATGTATTAGCTATTATTCCCTACAACACCTATTAGAGACATATTGTGAAGCTATTGAAATTTAAATTGTGAACCCTTACTTGAACACTTTTGAAGCCTTCTGCCTAGCACAAAGTTTGTAAATTTTATTTTTTCGTTCTTTCTTTAAATATTCTGAAGTGCTAGGGGTTGAACACGAGCTTGGTACAAGCTAGGCAGTAGCACTCTACCATTGAGCTATATCTGAAGCCTGTTAAATGTTTAGATTCTCAAAGGAGGGCCCTAGGGTCTCACAAGTTTGCGTCTGCTTGAACCAGAGAATTACATGCACATTTATGAATGCATGTCCCTCAGAAATCACGCTTGCATACTGTTCAAAATAAGCTCTTCATTATGTGGTTTACTCAGCTTTTGAAATCTTAGACCTGAATATCAACTATTGTAATCATTTAGTCACTTCTGACATTGATCTAAACTATTTTTTAAATGAAAGAATTGTTTGATTTTATATTCCAAATTATATGTTAAATTTTCATCTTAAAATATATCTTAGATTTCTTTCAAAAAGTAAGTATTGAATTGCCTTTTGCCCTTTTGTAGGATTATTCAAGTTTAGTATGTCTCTAACTTCACTCTTGAAATTTTAAGCAGATCAAAAGTTACAGAGTCAGCTTTGATATTATGAAATATAAACCAAAACAGTGATAGTCTGACTAAATTTGAATATGTAATTCTAGGGTTCTCAGTATCTACAAAGCAACATTTGAAAACGTAGACTCACAAAATGTAAGTATAAACAGTGCTGTAGTAGGTCCTAAATGTCTTCTGTCAGCAGTGCCAAGCAGCTACTCTCAGAATAATGGTCATACAATCACAAACATGTATTTCCTTGCATGTACACTAGACTCTGTTTAGACATAAAAAGTATTTATATAGTATTCATAAGCTCTTTGATTCTATACATGGATATTTTTTTGAGATTTTTTTTGAGAAAATATTTTTCTCAATTTCATGCATGTCTAATGTATGTTTTTTTTTATTATTATTCACTGATAGATATTCACAAGTATGAATGCCAAAGGTTGATTGAATGCCTCCCCTTGATGCCACTCCATTTTATTTGTTGACCCAGGGTCTCTAACTCAACCTGCAGCTCATTAATTAGGTTTCACTTGCTGACCAATGAGCGTTAGGGAATCTGTCTGTATCTACCCTACCAGTGTTACAGTTTCAGTAGACATCATTACCCCTAACGTTTTATTATGTTGAGGTGATTTGAACTCAGGACTGCAGGCCTGAGTGGCAGGCACTTTAAAGAAGAAATCATCTCCTTGGCCTTATCTTTCTTAACTTCAGTGACTCTCAAACAATAGCCCTTGTTCCCATTATTTTAGCTTTTTTTTTTTTTGTAAGCCATAAAGTATCATATCTAGATATTTCAAATTAAGAATCCAATGCAGAAAATCTCTGTTCATTTTCCTTGTAATTTGTCAGGTGGAGTCCATTTTTTCAGCTTCTTGTAACAAGGGAATGTCTCTCATCTGCATCATGGGAATCATTCTTATATGGACAACTGAAAACTCTTACTCCTTTGCTGATACATTCAACTTGGAAATCAATGTAAACAAACCTCAGAAGCAGATCACTACTGCCTTGATGCTGCTAGAAAGGATGAGGACCCAAGTGAATGAAAAATGTATGTTTACATTTGCAAACCAAATAACTGCTTGCCATCTCCTATGAAGTGTTAAATGAATATTAATAAAGGCTTGCGTGGTTTCCTTTCTTTCTTGAAGGGGGTGGGCATTTTCTGTTATGATCATTTATAGTTTGCAAACAGGTTTCCAAGGAAGTGTATGTTCATGTGGAGGTAGGCATATGCCTCAGTAGCTCCATAGTTGAACAACAATAAAAAAAAAAAAAAAAGGAACTTGAAAAAGAGCCGTTAAATGTGCTTATTCACAGTCCAGATTATTCTGCAAATGAGAGAGAAATATGCTAAATGATATGGTGCCTGGAATTTTATGCAGTCCTTAAAAGAACGGAAACATCCTTAATTCATACCAAACATTCAAGATTTATGTTAATTTTTTGCTTTAATTACTACTGTGTTCAAATGAGCTTATTTAAAAAACAAAGACACTCCAAGGTAGCTTTATAACAAGAAATAGTTTTGAAATAGGAAATTTTAGTCAATTTAATGTTATGCCTGAGATGACTTTTTTAAAAAAATAGACTTAATTGTACTGTGACACACAATTTCTTCAATAAGCCACATCTTGGAATTGCAGAAACCATCCCTTCGGGACATATCATCAGCAGATGCATGTTGCTAAGTTCAATTAAATGGACACAGTCGTGCTGTCATATATATAGAAGAAAAATCCATACATGTATAACAAGTGTGTTTCTCAGTATTTATAAAAAGATGTGGAAGGCATTATAGTTTAGTACATAAATATAAATTAATTGTCCATAAACAAAGAAACAACAGTGTCGAAACCATAACGGAGAGGATTATTAGTATTCTTTGAAGAGTTAGACATTACAAAGGAATGGAAGAAAAAATCCTTTAACATTTCTAGTGAAGTATTATCCTGATAACATAGATGAATTCATCCCCATGAGTGCTGTTTAATTT